AGCTTCTTATTGTTCTCTTTTGTATCCTCTCTTAGCATTTCTAGAATGTGAATTGCCTCTTTTGTTGAGCACTTAGGCAACTCTGCATAATTTAGCCTTTTTAATATTTCTCATTTAATAACTATATTTGCTACCCTCTTGGTTAAGATCTTGATCACATATTTTTTAAAAGTTTCAAGAAGAGCAATTGGCCTAATATTGCTTAGTTGATAATTCCAATTTTTGCTTTTTGGTATAAAGTAGATTTGAACTAATTTCTACTTTGTAGGAATCTTGCTCATTTTTAAATATGAGTTTGCAAATTTTCTAAACAATTCATGGGCAGTAGTACTTGTATTCTTGATTAAGCAATAACCGATTTCCATGACCCCAAATGCTGTTTATTCTTTGTTCCATTTACTGCAAGCAGCCACTTCTTAAGAGTTATCTCTTCATCAAGGCTTTTGTACTACTCTTCTTTTACTTCTTTTAATAGTATATAGAACTCAACTTTAATCTTGTTTTTTGTTCTAATTACTCTCTTATTGAACTGTTCTTTAAAGTGTTCATGAGTTTTACTTAAAACTATCTCTGGCTTAATGTAGAGTGCCTCTTGGCTTCTACTTCAAGTACTTGGTCAATCCTTACTTTGTTAATTAGCTTATCTAGTATACTTGCTAATATCCTGCTTATATTATCATCTATTCTTTCATATCTTGTGCTTATTACTTTATTTATTATATCTTTCAACTACTTGTTATCTCCAAGCTGTTTCTGCAATTTCATAGCTTCTAACTACACTTTGCTATTTGTACTTATTTAGTTAATATAGCTTTGTTAACTTGCTTGATCTGCTCTATATTGATGCCTTGTTTAGTGTTTATCTTGTTTATTGCCTTATTGATATCTTCTATTTTAACTAGACTCTTCTTTATATTTAGAGCTCTCTTGACTATTTGTATTATCTTGCTAAGTGTTACAATAGACTTGTATATAGCTGAGGTCTTGTGTTTGTGCTTAATAATGATGTTATTATTTATCACTTTTTTCCTTGGTATATTTTTGTTTGCTGCATATCGAATTGCTTCTGATATAATGCCCTATATATTATTTATCTTAATATCAAAACCTGTCTGTTGTAGCTTGTCTAACTTGTGATTTTTCTTTAAGAACCTATTTAGATCTTTATAATAATCATGCCAATTTTTTTATTAGATACTTTATCATACTGAAATATTGTTCTTGCTATATCTTTTTTTCTTCTTTTAGCTTGATTATATAATCTTACTATATGTTTAAGTGACAAGTCTGCCTATACAATATTATAATTACTCTTTGTAATTAGATTTGCTTCTATAATTTCTGCTTGTTCAATACCTGGCTGAAGCATTTTAAATACTCATATTTGGTCAATTCCTGTATTTGTTAACTATGTATATTCTTTAAGCTTAGGATTGTATACTCTAAATGTATTACCAAACCCTTGGCCTAAGAGCCATCTATGTAGTAAAAGAACTCTTGAGGCATTGTTCTCACTTTGGCTCACTTTGTCTAATTCCTTGTTTACAATATGATTGAAGTTACTCATTATTATAAAGTACAATATTAGACTCCTTTCTATATACTTGAATACAATTTTCTGCTATATTTTTCGTGCTTGTGTCTTATTATTTGGTGGTATGTATACCACAATTACGTTGATTACAGTGCACTTAAAGTAAAACCTTGCCTTGATCATATACTCTTCAAACCTTGTAATACTTTCTAAATGCCTTTCCCATTCTGTACCTATGACTAATTCTATACCGGAACTCTTATGTTTTGTTATTTTACTTTGTATCTAATACCTTTTATACCTGCTTTCTAAGCTGAATCTAAGCTCTTTGTTGTTTGTATTTGTTTCTGTTATCTCCAGAATATCTATATTTTCACTCTTTTGCCATTTAGTTATCATTCTAAGCTTTGATCTATTGTCTTTAATTCCATTTATATTATGACATATAATTTTTAACCTTAGTTCACTACTACTACTATATGCTATACTATCAATGTTTTTAATTCTTGCCTCTTCTTCACCTTCTTCTATAATGTTAATTGTTTTAAGTTGGGGGTTGGGTTCTTCTTTGATAGATCTACAGCTACTTTCAGAAGCAATTAAAAGCTAAAGCTCCTGCTTGGCTTCTTTTTATTTTTTCTAATTAACTAAAAATTTGTTTAAGCATATTCTCAAGATCTAAATTCATCTCTTTATCAGTATCTGTCTGGTTTAGAGGAGCACTATTTATCAGCTAATATTTTGCTACTAAGAGGCTACCCCCCTACCCCCTACCTAATCATAAATACTGCAATTTAATTAGCTAAAAAAAAAAATCAAAAAATCAAAAAATTTTAAAATTTAATATTAAATATCTTTTGACTTGGTAATCCGTTTTGAGTAATTTTACCACCAAAATGTCTGTCTCAATGAGACGATTCTAACAACCTAAAATCATTAAAATCCAATCACAGGATCCCAAGATTGAAGAGAGTTTGTAACTAGGATTTTTTCTTTAAAGAATAAGCTTCTTGATGCTAGCTTATTTACCCCGTATTATTAATAATTTTTAATTTTATTTAAAAAATTATAAAAACTTTTTAAAATTCCAGGCAAATTTGCCTGGAATACGGTTTAAGGGATAGTACCTTACTATAGTACTTTACTATAGTATCTTACTATAGTATCTTACTATAGTACCTTACTATAGTATCTTACTATAGTACCTTAGTATAGTACCTTAGTATAGTACCTTAGTATAGTACTTTGATATATTTTACCAATATAACAGTAGTGTTTTCTTAATAATTCTAAAGCTATATAAACTCTACCTTTTTCCCTAAAGCAGGTTAGATTTTGTCTCTTATTTTCTTATCTTTATATCTAATAAACTAATACCTCTCTTTGGCTATACACCTACTATGTTGTGTATATCCTTGACTCTTTACCCACTATGTTGTAAAGGCTCTTTCTATTGTATTTTTGTTTTGTTTTTGTCTTGTATTTATCTTCTTTCTTGGGTATTTCTCTCTGTTTTATCTTATTTTTTGTTATAGTTTTGTCTTTTGTTTTATCTTTGTCTATACACATTTTTTACTCTTTGTATATTAAATCAAGTGATATAGTTAATACTCCAAGGGTTTCTATGTTACAGTTTTGGTGACAATGACAGGAACTATAATTCTTTGTTTTATTTAAAGCTTTTATTTCAAACCAAACCATTATCAGTTTATTTTTAAATCTTGTTAAATTGTATTTTATAATTTTAAAACCCAAATCTTTAAATACCCAAATCTCAGTTACAACTTTATTTTCTTTTCTCTTTACTAGCTAGCTTCTTCTCTCTTCTTATTCTTTTTTCTTTCTTCTTTTTTTCTTTTTTCTTTTTTTCTTTCTTTCTTCTTGCCCTTTTTCTTAGTTTTTCTTTTTTTTTTTTATTATTCGCTGATTTTTCTTCTCTGTATAACTTCTTTTACACAAATTATCTTGTAGTTACACAAAGCACCTTTGTGCTATCTTAAAACAAATTATTTTATTTTTTCTTACCATAGCCCCTGTAATAACTAATAGACTCCAAAATTCATATTTTTAAGTAACATTACACAAATACAAATTTTTATCTAATTTGTATTTTCTTTTTTTATCTCTGTTTACCTTATAAATTTATAGTCTCTATTAGTTATTCTTACTCTTTATTGATTAAATTTTTTAAAAAAAATATATTTCATCTTATTTATTTTTCTTTTATAATTATCAAACTATAATATTAAGTGATAGCTATACTCATAAATAATATTCTGGCAAGTATTAGCTTAATATTATACAAAGTGTAATATAAAGTAATAGCTAAATTCGTGAATAATACTGTTGCAAGTATTAGTTTTATATTACAAGGAATTTAAAAAGCCATATATAGCTTATAACAGCCTGATTATTAGTATTTGGTACTTTTGTATTTTTATTTTTCTGGTTATATCTATAAATATCTCTAGGTTTTTGTGGCTAATAATTCTTATAAAGAGAAAACACAATAAGTACTCTACTGGCTAATACAAAAGGGACAGTAGACAAAACACCCCTTTTTTATCTACTGAATAAGCCCTATAGTATCTAGGAGGCTATTAAATTTAAATTCCATATATTATAATAGTTTTTTTCATTTTTATCATTATTTTTCTTTTTAATTATTCTTTTTGTTTAGTTTTAATTTATATGAAACCTTTTTCTCAAAAATATTTTGACTTTACTTGGCAATTTTTAAAACATATTCCAACTAGTAAAGATATAATACTTTAATCGAAAAACTTGAAGTTGCAATCGAGTTACTTCAATTTGGTTTACCTCTTACTTCAGAGTAGACAAATATTCTTTTTGCATATACTAAATTCTCTAACTTTTCTTGGAGCAACGGCAAATCTACACCTTTATCTAAGAAACTTTGGGATAACAGTTATATTATCAAATCTAACTTTAATACTCTTGCTCAACCTTCTATCTATTACTTAGAATTTTCTAATTCAGATAATCTACAAGAAACTATTTATATTATACTTTCTAAAGGAAACTCTGCTTCTTCTTACCACTTTTATACTGCAACCGAGTGTGCAAAATTAAAGTTATTTGAAACAGAGATTGAAAATAATATCTTCTCTCGTGATAGTATTAAGCAATTGTTTAAATTTTGTCAACAATATGGATTTATATCTTATTTAAATTAATTCTTTATAAATATTGTACAATATAAGAAGATTATTTAACAATATAATTTCGTTCATTCAACTAATCAATGTATTGTCTGTAGTAAATACAAAGCCAAACCTGATTCTAGCTATTCTGAGTGTAATTCTGAAACTTTAAACTTTTTTCTCTCTGTACAATTTAGTAGATTTTGGCCCTGGTTTCAAGCTAAATATCAAGCTCTAAGTTTTTCAAGATATACTATTAATTTATTTTGGGCTATATATTGACAAAATAAATCTATTGATAGAAGTGATAATATTTACAAACTATTAACTACTTGCTATTATCAAAATAATCAACTACCAAAAGAATTTAGTAAAATTGTTCCTGAAGTAGCTGCTAAGTGGAATGATACATCAGGATTTGTTTTATCACCTATATCTATAGAACACGATACTAAGTCTGACATTTCTACTATAGCTATAATAGTTAAATTCACTGATTCTGTAAAGGATAATAATATTCATAATAGTAAAAAAGAAACTATAAACAACAAAGCATCTATTTCTAATAACAATAATATAGTACCAACTTCAAATCAATATGACAAGTTTTTTACTAATATTCTTTCAGATTTAGATTATTTGGAAAATATGTCTGGCCGAAGAACTTCTAATTGCCAAAAAGAAACTTTGATAGATATGCGAGATACAAATAGAGATAATGATAATCAAATGTCCTAGCTAATTCTTTCTAATCAATCTGATCAAGTGGCTGAAGAACAAAGAATATCTAAGAATAATAATAGGCCAGATAATAACCAACCAAATGAAGATGACTAACATGAAGAGAAAAATTAATTCTTAGTGAAAGATGCTATAAACACTATAATTGAAAGCTTTAAAAGAATC